CAGTCTTGCAAGTTGCAATCTCCTGGCAGTAATGGTCCCCTAGTGGGACTTGTGACCATGTACCACGACAAAGACAATGTACAGAGTAACCAATATTTTAGAATTAAATTTAAAATACTGTATACCATATGCTAAATGAATGAATATCCAATTTATACATTTGTTTCTATATTATTTGTAGTTGTTAATTTAATTGTTTAAATTTTATATAATTTGAGAACTGATTTAGCATACTCAGTTACATAATATCCCATTGTGATTTGTAATGACGTTACAGGGTCATCATTCTCTCGAGGTTTAGCGACATGCCATTGTAATGCACATGGTTTAGGATGATTCCTAGACGAATTCTTCATTTTATTACTCTCCTTGTATTTCACAAAAGTTATCGGATGGCACAGATAGACAAAGAAGAATAAGTTTTTTTGTACCTATATGAAGAAGAAGGTACAGTATTAATATGCTCTGGATTTACTGTATGTTGTTTAATGTCATGTGTTCTCAGTGGTCAGTTTGTGCTCATAACATGTTAATGAACACATCTTACTCACCTACTACTAGAGAAAAGATAATATCTCCACAACTTGCTGAGTTGTGTAGGATCAAGATACAAGGGGCTTAGATGCTAATCCAAGTTTCCGGATTACTGTAAGTGATGCAGGTAATCCCAACTAAGTTGTTTTAATTGGAAGCGGTTGATATGTATAATCATAATTTTTTTTTTTTTTTTTTTTTTTTTTTTTTTTTCTTTTTTTTTTTTTTTCTTTATTCAATTTTATTGGCACTTACAAAAACATCAGACACAAATAAAAAAAGTAAGCAAAAGGATACAGTAGGTTCCACAGACTCAAGGTCCAAACTAAGGGAAAACGCCCTGGACAAAAAACATCATACTGTATTAACATAAAAAATACATACTGTATAAACTCTCATATATAAATACGATAATTGATAAATACAAGATTTATGGCACACTTAGAACGCTAAATCAGGAGTAAAAACATCAACTTGGAAAAAGGGAGGTAAAATCAAGTAAAAATATGAAAGACTTGGAGAAGTTTTTAAATCCACCTCTGCTTCATGCTGAAGTTGTCATTGATTAATTAGTACAGATTTGTTTAAAGATTTTCTAAAGACATTGACAGTCAAAAAAATCAAACATTCACTTAGTTTGAATTGTTCAAAACAAGCATACTATAGTAGGTCTATTCTAATTCCACATTCCAAAAGTAATTAAAAGAAAAACAGTTTTAGTGAAGTAATTTATTAATCTGACTATGACAAACCTATTTAATTTGCACATACAGTATTATTATTATAATGAAACATTTACGGTACTGTAAAAAGAATAACAATATAAATTGCCTTGGAACATCAAAATGTCCCAGAGTAACCTTGACCTGAGGTTAGACCCTCAGTAGGCCTACAGTACCTTGATAAAGTTAATGAGTTGTTTCCCTGCTTGATTGAAGTAGGAATTGCTTGGTAGGCGCCTGGGCCGACAGTCACATCACAACCCTTGACCTTTTAAATCAGGAATTTCACTGACATATTGATTAATGATTGCTTATTGGTTCTATTTGCACTGTAATGTAAAGTGTGGGTGAGTTTCATAAGGGGTATTCCAAGTCTGCATGGAGTTTGTGCAGTAAACTAATGTTTATGGAAACCAGTGGCGACATCAAGATTGTTTTAGTAACTTAAGGTAACCAAATAGTTTCCTGCCTAGTGTATCAATCAATTATTCAATCAATAAATCAAATTTTAAGGAGTATACATAGATTATCTAAGATATTCATGATACAGACAAACAAATCCCACAAATTATAGCCAAGCTGTACATATTGATACACAGTAAAGATTGCTTATACAGTAAGTCAACTTTCCTAACTCGAATAATTTCTAAGTCGATATTATTCTATCTTATTGCATGTGAAGAGTTGAACAATTTTTCAATGCAATTTTGTATTCGAGGAAGTTCAGCTGATCAGAAGGATAGTCCTGTGATTTTGTTTACTGGTTGTTTCATGTTTTCCTCTTAAACTTTATCCCTCATTTCTCACTTTAACATTTTTTCTAATGCTAATTCTAGACATTTTCTCTATTAATGAAAATACTTGAATATTAACGAGCTTGCTGGCAGGCCATAATTAGCCTGCTGGATAAAGAACTTCATGATTCATAAATTTAGTAGACCAGCCGTAGACGTTGTATAGATTGCTGTCTGTCTGTATAAACTTGATGACATAATTATAATTTTTATTTCAACGTTTTGTCTGACGATAGCATGATTAGCATGCAGGAAGAGTCTATGTAATGT